GAAGTCCCATGACTGGCCCAGCCCACTCCTGCTGCCTCATTGCTCGTGAAGAAAAACAAATCCTGCTCCAAACAGCTCCCTTATGTAACAGGGACAGAACCAGAACTGGCCCAGGAGGAAGCGATGGGCATGTGGAGGCCCAGCCCCTGCCTGCCAGGAGACTAATCACAACTGTCAGTGTGTTTCTTCCACCGTGACCTGGGGTCGTGGACTCATCCCGGGGGGAGGGCAGCAGCCTAGCTGGGGGTGAGGGCAAGCGGCTGCACTTTCTAGAACAGGGCTGGGCACACGGTCCACAAAGGGTAGGAGAAAGTGTTCTAGTCTTTGTGGGACAAGACACAAATTGAATCTCTTGTAGGTACTCGACTAGAGAGAAAGCAGATTTCCACCAGTTTTCACTGATGAAATCGTAAACTTTTTATGGACGAGGACATTTGAATTTCATCTAATTTTCACATGTCATGAAATATTCTCTCTCGATTGTTTTTCAACCCCTTTAAGATGTAAAAACCACTCTCCTGCTCACGGCTGAACAGACACAGCTGCAGTGGCTTTGCTGACCCCAGAGGGGGAGCAGAGGCCGAGCAGGGCAGGGTGGCTGGGAGCGGGTGCGTGTTCCCCCAGCACTTGGTACCCGGGGCTCTCAGTGCCCCTTGTAGGCCAAGTGCACAGTTAATTTCACCCATAGTAATTCTTGCTTGTAAGTAAATCTATTCAGTGACAAATGACTCTAAAAATTCGTCATTTTCAGTGGCAAACCCTAGTTAAAATCCATAACGGGGTGACTCAAAGCACCTCAGTCCCCTGGCCTTTATGGACCAGATGCTGAAACTCCTTGTTCTGACAGATTTGCTCTCTCTCTCCGGGCCACGTGGCAACAAGGGAGGGTTCAGTCACCGCCTGGGTGGCGGTGCCAGCCTGCAGAAACAGTTCACCTTGTTTCCATCCTGGGCTGGGCTCCGATCTGATTTGGCCCCTCGGGTCACCAGAATCGATTCTTCACTTGGGGGTCATGGGTGGCAGAGTTGAAGGGTGTCCAGGGCCCCAGGTAACCCCGCCCCTCCAGGACCAGGTGCTTTTCTTACACTAAAAATGCACAGAAATGCTGAATTTTCTTCCTTCCTTCCCCTGGGACGTAGGTGCCTATCTTTTATCACCGATAAAACTGACGTGACTTACTTGTGACAAATGACATATAAAACGTTACTTTCTGTGTTCATTATTATGGGCAACTGTGATTTTTAAGAAGAGGTTAGTGTACTTTGAAAGGGAACTACACAGTTCTACGAATGGATGGGAAGACTTCCTGCATGGAATTTCCCACCAAAGCAGGAAGCTCCTGGTGTCACCAGAAAAGTTACTTGGGTCTTCAGTGTAGAGATAAACCTCGGTGCCTCTGATTCAAAAGAACCTGCCTGTTGGGCTCCCTTTCTTGAGAAGTATTTCCTTTTCTCCTGCCTGGTAATGGTTCTGAGCTGAATGTCTAGTTTTTAGGTAGAACATTAAGCTCAATTTCTCAATATGTTGAAAGGAATAAAGAGCAGGGGACAAGAAGTGACCCTGGGGAGCCCATCAGCCAGTCAGGGATCGAGAGCAGAGAAGGCACATTGTACCCCAGGGACTACGGGCTTGAGAGCAGGTGTCACCCTGGAGCATCGCCCCTCACCTGAATTCACTTGCAAATGTGGGTTTTTATTGCGTTTCCTATTTGCCTCTCAGAACATGTAAACAAATAAGACAATTCCAGAGACTTTTTTTCCTTTAAAATGGAAAGTGCTTCCTTTTCTAACTGAACAATGATGGTTACTGAAAGATCCAGGAATTAGTTTTAAAATAATCACACATTTAAAAATAATGACCCGAGGATAGCAGGTATGACGCTACTTTAACATTAATACTGGGACTTCCCTGGTGGCGCAGTGGTTAAGAATCCACATGCTAATGCAAGGGACACGGGTTCAAGTCCTGGTCCAGGAAGATCCCACATGCTGCAGAGCAACTAAGCCCGTGTGCTGCAACTACTGAGCCTGTGCTCTAGAGCCCGTGCGCCACAACTCCTGAGCCTGTGCTCTAGAGCCCGTGCGCCACAACTACTGAGCCTGTGCTCTAGAGCCCGTGCGCCACAACTACTGGGCCTGCGTGCCGCAAGTACTGAAGCCCGCACACCTAGAGCCCGTGCACCGCGGCAAACAGTTGCCCCGCTCGCCGCAACTAGAGAAAGCCTGCACACAGCAACGAAGACCCAACACAGCCAAATATAAAAATAAATAAATTTATATATAAAAAAATAAAGTTAATCCTGATCATCTAACCATGTGGATTAACATACCTTCTGGGAGAAAAAGCACCTGGATTGTGCGTGGTTGCTGGGTCTGCTTGGCTTTTCCAGTTGGATTTTGTAAGACTCTGTATGGAGAAGGGATTCACTTCCACATCCTAAGTGCCCAGCACACTTGCTGACGCTCCACGTGTTTCACGAGACAAATGTTCCGTGATAAATGAACCAGTATGTGTCCCGCAGAGGGGAAAACATACTTGCATCTATTGCTTTGATGTCCCTTAGTTGTAGTTACGTTTTATAACATGAATGATTTCACTTTTTTAATTCTTTTTTGAAAAATTTATTTCGTTGACGTAAAGACTGATTTACAATATTGTGTTAGTTTCAGGTGTACAGCAAAGTGATTCAGTTATACGTATATGTAACAGTTTGCATCTGCTAATCTGTATTTTTTTAATATCTTTATTGGAGTATAATTGCTTTACAATGGTGTGTTAGTTTCTGCTGTATAACAAAGTGAATCAGCTATACATATACATATATTCCCATATCCCCTCCCTCTTGCGTCTCCCTCCCATCCTCCCTATCCCACCCCCTGTAGTTGGTCACAAAGCATCGAGCTGAGCTCATCTCCCTGTGCTATGCGGCTGCTTCCCACTAGCTCTCTACTTTACGTTTGGTAGTGTATATATGTCCATGCCACTCTCTCACTTCATCCCAGCTTACCCTTCCCCCTCCGCATGTCCTCAAGTCCATTCTCTACGTCTGCCTCTTTGTTCCTATCCTGCCCCTAGGTTCATCAGAACCATTTAATTTTAGATTCCATATGTATGTGTTAGCATACGGTACTTGTTTTTCTCTTTCTGACTTACCTCACTCTGTATGACAGACTCTAGGTCCATCCACCTCACTACAAATAACTCAATTTCGTTTCCTTTTATGGCTGAGTAATATTCCATTGTATATATGTGCCACATCTTCTTTATCCGTTCATCCGATGATGGACACTGCTTCCATATCCTGGCTATTGTAAATAGAGCTGCAGTGAACATTGTGGTACATGACTCTTTTTGAATTATGGTTTTCTCAGGGTATATGCCCAGTAGTGGGATTGCTGGGTCGTGTGGTGTTTCTATTTTTAGTTTTTTAAGGAACTTCCATACTGTTCTCCATAGTGGCTGTATCAATTTACATTCCCACCAACAGTGCAAGAGGGTCCCCTTTTCTCCACACCCTCTCCAGCATTTATTGTTTGTAGATTTTTTAATGATGGCCGTTCTGACCAGTGTCAGGTGATATCTCACTGTGGTTTTGATTTGCATTTCTCTAATGATTAGTGATGTTGAGCATCCTTTCATGTGTTTGTTGGCAATCTGTATATCTTCTTTGGAGAAATGTCTAGAATGATTTCATTTGAATATTGACAAAAGCCCTGTGAAGCCTGGGGTATTTTCACCCTCATTCTACAGGTGGAGAAACTGATGCAAAGGAAGGTCAGATAATTTTCCCAATATTCCTCTGCTGATGAGTGATGGTGCCGAGCTCATGTCCGGGCTGAGGGTGGGGACCTCCCACCCTGTCACTAGCCACGGCTGTCTTTATTTTGCTGTCATGCTGCACGTTGCCACCTCTTGCAAGAACTTTTTCCTCATTCCAAATTAGAGGTGCAGAAGTGGTCTTGATAGATTTTGGCTTTTCCACGTGGCTTTCGATTTCAACATTCTCATGATAATATACTCTAAAATGCATTTAATTTTTTAAAATAGTGAATTCTATTAATTTTTCAATCTTAAAATAAAATCACATATCACATAAGATTTAGAAAGCTCAGAATATAAGAGCTAGAATCTCATTATTGGAACATGACTGTGCTAGTATCTTGGTTTGATTTCTTCTGGCCTTGATCTCCTACACCTGTATTTTACATAATTGAAAATGCAAACTGGAACATTCTGCATGTTCCACATAACAGGGAACCATACCTTGATGTCTGCGCTAATATTCTGTTGTGTGTAGGGACTAAGGTTTATGCCTATTTTAAAGCTTCCAAAGGGTTTTTGAACTACTTTTATTGGAAATGGCACTTTGCTGAACATCTTTATGTATAATTTTCCATATTTAGGGCTTTGTTCCTTGGGTCAGAGTCCTCGAAGTGGATCTTATAGGCAAAAGGACATAAACATTTCTGAAGCCTTTGCAAACGATGGTCAGGCAGCTTCCAGAGGCCAGGTGTTAAAGCGTGGACATTAGGACGAGCAGTAGCGGAGAATGAAGTTTGCTGTGCTCCAGCCCAGAGGGCATCCCGTGATTTTTAAAATGTTTCTAATCCCGTGGGCTGAGAATTGATGTCCTGGGTTCAGACTGTGTCTTGATGCTCTGTTAGGGACACTCTGTTAGTTGTCACAGACAGCCCGGGACTCTCACCTGGGGGTAGCCCTGGTCTTCAGAAGCCGGCGCCCATGACCCCTCCTCGCCTCCGGAAGGATGCTTCTGCACACATCTCCTCAGACAGGGAACCCGCTCGGAACCTGCTGTTGGTTCTGATCTAACGGAGACGGGAAGACCGTAGCCTTTCGGACAAAACCCCCCAACAGGCTCGCTCTGAAAATCGGAGCACGTAGAAACTACAAGTGCTTTGAAATCTGAGATGCACGTTAGATCTCAGGGAGCACTCCTGGGCGGGCTGTGGCTCTGGGCTGCAGGATGACGACTCTCCCACCCAGGCTGGCGGCCGGCTCCCCCGGGTGTGGGCAGGGCGCCCCCTGGTGTGCACGCGGGGCGCTGCAGGACTCGGGCGAAGAACCCCATCTCCTTGCGCAAACCAGACTCCAAACCAGGGCTCCCGGCAAACTCCAAACTGCGAACATTTCAATTCAGGTCCGTCCAGCCCATCCTCCTGGAGTTGTCTGGGGCCGCTGCCCGCTGCCCACACGGTCAGGAGTCGGGAGCCCGTCCTTCCCCTCCTGGCCGGCCCCGCGCCTTCCTCCCTCCTCCCTTCCCTGTGCTCCATCCTTCCTTCCTGCAGGTCGGGACTCAGGCCCGGGGTTCAAAGTCAGGCTTTGACAGTAACTCCCCTCTCACTCTGGACAACGTACCTAAACTCTTCCAGCGCACTGAGTGTTACCGGTGTCTGCTCCGGGGAGATGCTGTGAAAAGTAAACGTGTTAACACAAGCCTAGTGCAGTGCCTGGAAAGTCAGTCCCCAGCACGTGCCGGCCATTGTTTCCTTCCTTTTGCTCGGCTCTTGTGGGGCGATTCTCTGGAAAACCAGCCCCAGGCAGGAGGGAGTGTGGGATGCTTGCTCAGCTGGTTATGGTGCCTTGTCTTTGTCCTTCAAATAGGGGGAATATATTTTAAAGGACTTTGAATCTTGTCCCTTTCAAAGGACACCGAGGGTGTGTCAGGGCTCACCTTTTTGCTGCCCTCTGGGTGCCGCTTAGAGAAGCATGTTCTGGAATCTTCCACAGAACCATCCTCTGTGTCTCCTGCCCCGCCTCCAAACACACACGGGTTCCTCCTTTAAATCCACCACCCCTGCCTTCTTCTTTCGTCCCGCTGCCCTGCCCCCCTCACCTCCACCCCCCAGCCACCCCCCGGGCAACTGGTACCACCTCCTGCCCCACCCCGTCCTCCAACCTCAGCATGGCCACCCTCCACTCACACTCCCGTCAGGCGCCCGCAGAATCAGGTCGAGACCTGAGCCTGGCGTTCGTGACCTGCCCCGGGTCCATCCCAGTGTGCTTTGCTGGTCTCACGTGGACGGAGGGAGTCCCACCTCGTGCTTTGAACACACCTCCTCCTCCGGGTACCGGGCGCAGCAGGGGCTGGGATGTGCAGTGAGGCAGGGATCCCTGGGACATGTCCCAGGAGGTCGGGTGCGGCTGGCATCTTGCATCCTGTGCCGGAGAGGACGTGACGCTCAGCAGTTTAGACGTGCCCTCTGGGCCACGGGAGCCAGGTAGAAATGGCTCACGACGTTGTTTCCTTCCCGGGTGACCCGCGTGCAGCTGGGACGGCTCAGCTCACGGTGGCGGCAGAGTGCAGGCGAGGGGCCATTGCAGAGCGGGACACTGGGGAGACGATGAGGCTGTGAAGACGGCAGAGCTGGGCGTGCAGAGAGAGGAGGGGACGCGAGCCTTCTGAGGGGTCGCTGACAGGCCGTGTGACCAACCCCCGTGGATTTCTAGCCTTGACAGACAGCGGAGCCGCTGGGAACAGGTGGGGAAGGAGACCTACAGCAGATGCAGGGTCCATGGATTTGTTCTCTGAGGTAGAAGGGCTGTCACAGGGGAGTGTCCACAGGGGAGGGAAGGTCAGGGGTTTTTCCTTTCCCCAAACAAAATGGTATTTGGAAAATCTCAGTTTTACCTTTTGCCGCCTCTGACCCAAATCTAGAGTCTTCTCCCAGGGTGGTGGTTTACAGCAGCCACGACGTGTTTACGCAGAAAGAGTGCCTCCCATTCGTCTTATCTTCCTAGACCACATCCCTCCGAGTCATGCACTTTCTCAAGGCGTTTTTAACGTGGCATCCCTTTTATCATGTCAGCATCAGAGACGTCTGTGCAGGGTTTTCATGGGCTTGCTTTCCAAAATTCACACTGTTCTCTAGGCTGAAATGAGGCAGTGCCTGAGAAAGATGTTGCCGCCAGACGCCGTTCTGCAGATCACAAATACCACGTTCAATGCTCATCTGAAGAGGTTATTTTCTACGCAGGTTAGGTGGTATCTGTTCCAATATAAAAATTAAGCAACCGCCTAGTAATTCAGTCAATATAAACTAGCGCGTACACTAATCAGGTCCCAACATTTTCTCAAAGGGAGAGGATTGTCTTGAATTTATTCAGTGTTGACCCGAATTAGCCACTTACTTCACTTTGCTTTGTTTCTACAATTTGGTAATCTCAGATAAAAGTACCCCTCCCCCACACACACTTCTTTTTATTTTCTTCTTTTAGCAATCTGGTTATTGTTATTGCTACTGAGTTGCTTTCGTATGCCAGCTAGCAATTACCACATTATTAGTGAGAACAGATTTCTTCCTTATGATGTTAGTTGCCTACTGTACCACATTATTTCTCATGCAGAGTTTAAAGAGATGCCTTTGATGGAGAAGCTTGTGGACCTAGCGCATTTGAGAGCGTTTGGGAAGCTTTTGCGATTCATTAGAGTACAGTCCACATCACTGGGAGTCTGTAGCCTGACTGCCTGGTAAACGGACCGTTCTCCTCTGTGCTTTGACAGAAGTGGAGGAACTCTCGGTTAAACCAACTGCCCTAAGGCCCTGGGTTTCCGTAGGGTTGCAATGGTGTCTCCTGGTGGATACATGCCTTTAAAAAATAGCTGTTCTTTTACGTTCACAGGGAGATCTTTCAATTCATCACCTGTGATTTCACGGCTGCCCTGAGGAGGGACCTCGATCCACAGGCACGCAGGCCGCTTGTCCTCTGAGGTCCCGTAATTACTCCAGGGTCAGAGGGACGCCCTTCAGGGTGTGCTCTTATTTGGAAGGAGACATCCGTATTTGGAAAGAGGAATTACTGTTGCTGCCTGGTGAAAACGCTCCAGGACATCAGGGTTTCAGAAAAATAAGGACACAGAATGAGGTGGTAGTTTAAAATCAGATATACCTTACGACTGAACATGGGAAAGAGAACACGTGGAGACTAAGGGGCAGAGAGGCAAGATCGGGATATGTGAGACCTGGCAAAGAAATGGCTTTCTGTGTTTTTCTGGACTATCTTCTGAACAGAAGAGAGCTGCGCTCAGGAATCTCAACTTTCTGGAGAAAGAGAATGAAATTGCTTCTCTAACACTACATAAAACTACATTCAAATAATGACACATTTATACAAAAATCGAAAGTTTGGTGAAAATAACTTCTCCTTCCTGAACACAAAAGGGAGCACATTGCCAATCTGATCCCACCTCCTCTGCACACTTCAGTGTGTATTTCCATCAGCCAGACATGGTCCTGTGGAGCCATAAGTCCTACAGCTATCAAGGTCAGGACAGTAGCAGCGCTCAGTCACTGCCACCTAATCCATAGACCCTACAGGAATTTCACCAGTTGCCAACAATTCCCTTTGTGGCAAAAGAATTCAGGTCAGAATCAGCCTCGGGCTTCTCTGTCATCTTGCTTTCGCCTCCTCTTGATCTGGAACAGTTCTTCAGCCTCTGTCCTTTTGCTCTGACTTTGGCGTGTGTGTGAAGGTCATAACCTGCTACTTTGTGGGTGGTTCCTCAGTTCAGGTGGGGCTAAAGCTTCAGGATACACGATGACGCTTGTCCCCACGGCAGCCTGCGGGCACACACAGGTTCCGTGGTTCACCGCCGGGGATGTATTTTCATCGCTTGGTTGAGGTGGCATCAGCCATGCACCCCCGTAAGTTACCTCTTCCCTCCCTGTGACCAAGTAGTGAATCATGTCCTAATGCAGTAGTAGAAAAAAGAGCACTGGACTTTTATTTACTTTCATTGCTTTTTATATTAGTATATCTTTTCTCTTGTGCCGAAAACCTTAGTTTCTAACATTATTAACAGAATAGACTTTGTTTTACTTTACAATATGCCTATATTTGTTTCAGAATTACAATATCAACAATTTTCTAACAACTTGGCTACTGAATGAGTTTAAAATTGATTTCATTTTTTTACTATAGAATATATCCCACCAGAAACTTACAATCATCTGAATAAAGAAAATTAAATACTTCCCAACTCATTCTGTAAATATTACCTTGATTCAAAAAAACTAGACAAGGATATTATAAGAAAATTACAAAGCAATATCCCTCATGAACTCAGATGAAAAATTCCAAACAAAACACTTGCAAATCAAATCGAACCATATATATAAAGAGCAAGCCACTATGACCAAGTGGAGTTTACCCCAGAAATGCAAAGATTGTTAAACAGTCAAAAGTCAATCAATGTAAATCATCATATAGACAAACTAAACAAGAAAAGAGAAAGCAAATGATGACCTCAATAGATGCAGAGTAAGCCTTTGAAAAAATTTAACATCCATTCCTAACTAAGAAAAAAACCTCTAGGCAAACTAGAAATAGAAAACTTTCTGAACCTGGTAAAGGGCATCTGTGAAGAAACTACACACTCAGGGTGAAAGTCTGCGTGCTCCTCATATGATTAGCAGTAAGACAAAAATGTCTGCCTCACCACTTCTATTCAGCGTCATACCGGAAGGCCTAGCCGGAGCTGTAAGGCAAGAAAAATAAAATAAAATAAAAGGTTATTATCTATGTTATTTATTTATCAATAAATCCAGAAAAGAAGACGTGAAGTTATTTTTATCTGCAGGCAATAAAATGCAAAGCAAGCAACAAAAAATCCAGTAGAATGAATAAGTGAGTTTAGAGAATTACAGGATACAAGATCAATATTCAAAATAAACTGTATTTCTAAATATTAGCCAAAAAATACTGAGAAGTTGAAATAAAAATGCAATTCCATTTACAATAGCATAAAAATACAAAAACTTGGGAATAAATATGACAAACCATGTGCAAAACATGTACAAGGAAAACTATAAAACATGGCTGAGAGTAACTAAAGATGATCTGAATGAATGAGATAGACCTCGTTCATAGGTCAGAAGACTTAATATTGTTAAAATATCAATTCTTTCCAAATTGAGCTATCATTTTCATGCAATTCCAATAAAAATCTCTACAGGTATTTTTGGGTATAAATTGGCTAACTGATCCTAAAATTCGTCTGGAGATGGAATGGATCTTGAACAATAGACACCTTGGAAAGAGAAGAACCAAATTGGGAAACTAACACTACCTAATTTCAAGATTTATTATAAAGCTACAGTAATCAAGACAGTGTGTTATTGCCATAAAAGCAGACAAATAGGTAAATGGGGCACAGTAAAGAGTCTAGAAATGGATCTACGCATATATGAACATTTGCTTTTTGAAAAGTGTTTAAAGGCAATTCAGTGAAAAATGAAAAATAATTTCAACCAATGCTTCTGGAAAAATTGTATATCCATATGCCAAAAACAAAAACTTTGATCCATACCTATTTGCACTATATACAAATATTAATTAAAAATGGATCATAGACCTAAATGTAAAACCTAAAAATCTGAAATTCCTAGAGGAAAGCACAGGATAAAATCTTTATGACCTTGTGTGAGTGAAGCTTTCTTAGATATGACACCAAAAGCATGATCTCAAACAAAGCAAGATAAAGCAAAACACACACAGAAAAACCAAGTGGATAAACTGGGTTTCTTGCACATTAAAAACTTCTGCTCTTTGAAAGATGCTGTTAAGGGAATGAAAAGACAAGCCACAAACTGGGAGAAAATAATTGAAAATCATATATCTAATAATGGACTTGTATCTCGGGAGTATATAAAGGACTCTCAAAAATCAATAAGGAAACAAACAGCCCAATAAAAAATGGGCAACAAAATGTTAATAGACATTTCTCCAAAGAAGGCGCATGGATGGCAAGTAAGCACATTCTTTTTAATTAAAATTGAAAAGAATGACCACATCAAACGCTGACAAGGATGTGGGGATGAAGTGGAGCTCTCACACCCCGTGGTGGGAATATGCAAAAGGACGCAGCTGGAGAAAGCGGTTAGGCGTTTTCTGAAAAAGTTAAACAAACACCTGCCACACAATTTAGCTCTTCCCCTCCTAGATATTTATGTATCTAAAGAAAAGGAAGCATATTCTCCTACCAAGACCTGGACACAGATGGTCACAGCAGCTTTATTTGTATCAGCTTAAAACTGAAGAAACCCAAAATCCCCATCACGAGGTAAACAGATAAAAAACAAATTGTGGTGTGTAGACAAAATGGAGCACTACTAAGAAATAAAGGGAACTAACTATTGCTACATGAAACACCATGGATGAATCTCAAAACTATAATCAGTGAAAGAAACCAGACCAGAAAGAGTGCTTTTACCGTATGATTCTAGTTACATTAAACTCTAGAAAATGCGAGCTAATCTCTGGTGAGAGGAGGTAGGTCAGTAGCTGTCTGTGGGCAATTACAAAGGGGCCAGGAGAAATTTTAAAAAATTTTTATTAAAGTATAGTTGATTTACAATATTGTGTTAGTTTCAGGTGTACAGCGCAGTGATTCAGTTACATACGTATATATATATATATATATACATATATACATATATACACATACATATATATACACACATATATTTTCATATGCTTTTCCATTATGGTTTATTGTAGGATATTGCATATATTTCCCTGTGCTATATAATAGGACCTTGTTGTTTATCTATTTTATATATAGTAGTTTGTATCTGCTAATCCCAAACTCTGAATTTATCCATCCCCTACCCCATTTCCCCTTTGGTAAACAGAAGTTTGTTTTCTATGTCTCTGAGTCTGTTTCTGTTTTGTAAACAAGTTCATTTGTATCATTTTTTGGGGTTCTACATATAAGTGATATCATGATATTTGTCTTTCTCTGACTTACTTCACTTAGTATGATAATCTCTAGGTCCATCCATGTTGCTGCAAATGGCATTATTTTATTCTTTTTTATGACTGAGTAATATCCTATTGTGTATATATACCACATCTTTATCCATTTATCTGTCGAGGGACATTTGGAAGCCAGGACATGCTTCCATGTCTTGGCTATTGTAAATAGTGCTGCTATGAACATTGGGGTGCATGTATCTTTTCAAATTAGAATTTTCTCTGGATATATGCCCAGGAGTGGGATTGCTGGATCATATGGTAACTATTTTTGTTTTTTAAGGAACCTCCATACTGTTCTCCATAGTGGCTGTACCAATTTACATTCCCACCGACAGTGTAGGAGGATTCCTTTTTCTTCAAACCCTCTCCAGCATTTGTTACCTGTAGACTGTTTAATGATGGCTATGAATTCTTTACATATTTTTATATTCCCTCTTTTCAGATATATGATTTGCAAATATATTCTCCCATTCAGTAAATTTTCTTTTTATTTTGTTGATGGTTTCCTTTGCTGTGCAGAAGCTTTTTAGTTTGATGTAGTCTCATTTGTTTATTTTTTCTTTTGTTGCCTTTTTTTTTTTTTTTTTTTTTTTTTTTTTTTTTTTTGGAACCAGTCATTTTTTAAAAATCATAACATCTCTGTGTTGAATTGAATCTTTTCTTTTTGAGTAATTAAAGTTGTAAAAGCAACTTGATATATTCTTTGGAGCAGGTAGATTCCACAGGGCTTTTCTGAAGGGAGGCAGAGAGTTTTATTTTATTAGAGCATATTTGGGAAGCAAACAAAAGAAGAATGAGAATAATATTCATTAGTAACATATGTGATCAGTATAGGAAGAGAATATTAAATATTTGATAATTTTTACTTTAGCTGGTTCAGAGAAATGAGAGATTATAAAGTTGATAAGATCATAGAGCTGAATCTGTCCATCCATCCATCCACCCACCCACCCACTCATTTATCAATCTACCAGCAGCTGCTTATTAAATTTATTGAATTACATTTATTAAAGTACTATTTGTCCAGCTCTGTAGTAGGTGTTATGGGAGATACAAGGGAAACAAAAGACATTCTGTGAATCTAAGAAGATTCATAGAATGCTAGGTGTGAAGATGATGTTATTGTAATTCAACACTGCCTCTTTCGCATTAAGAAACAATTGTTAGGTGATTTGTGTAATGTAATACTCAAAGAATTGTATGGTGAGCCACAGAACCCTAGTTCCTAGTCTAATAATTTTTCTACTGATACCAGTTGGGTGAGTCAGATATATATATATATATATATATATATATATATATATATATATATATATATATGTATATATCTATTCTTTTTCAGATTCTTTCCCCTCATAGGTTATTACAAGATACTGAGTAGAGTGCCCTGTGCTGTACAGTAGGTCTTTGTTGTTTACCTATTTTATGTATAGTAGCGTCTATCTGCTACCCCAAACTCCTAATTTACCCCTCCCGCCTTTCCCCTTTGGTAACCATAAGTTTGTTTTCTAGGTCTGTGGGTCTATTTCTGTTTTGTAAATTAGCTCATTTGTATCAGTTTTTTAGATTCCACATATAAGTGATATCATACGGTATTTGTCTTTCTCTGCCTGGGGTACTACACCTAGTATGATCATCTCTTGGTCCATCCATGTTGCTGCAGATCGCATGATTGCACTCTTCTTAATGGCTGAGATTCCATCATCTATATGTACCACATCAGGGAGAAATTGTTGAGGGAGGGTGACATGTTCAGTACCTTAACTGTAATGATAGTTTCATGGATGTGTCCATATGTTGAAACTCATCCAATTGTATACTTTAAATATGCAGCTTATTGTACGTCAATTATACCTCAATATAATTGTTAAAAAAACAACAACTAAAGTTACCAGTAGTAATTTTTTCCATATTTATGACACCAACTTGAAACACAGTCAGTTTCATTTGTTTTCAATTTTGGGGTCTGCTGTTTTCTTTTTGATTTTATTTTATATGTAAAAATTTATATACTTCCCACTATAAACTGTAAAACAGTGAACATTCACAGAAATCTCATTCATATCCCCCTACATAAAGATAAGCTTTTTATTCCTTAAAGTTTTGGTTTATTTTTCCACTGATTTCTTTTGAAAATATCGTGGAATATGTGTGTGTGAGTGCGTGCAGACACACACACTTGCAGACACACGCACACTCACATAAGCCCCGCACACTCACATACGCGCACACACACATCCCCCTCCTCCTGTCCCAAGCGAGGCAGTGGTCTTCCTGGGGCCTCTGGACATCTGGTCCTGGCGCTTCATCAGGCTCAGGGGTCGAGGAGCCAGCTGGTGATTTATAAGGTGCTGTTAAGTCAGGGCCTGCCCTGGGGCCCTGGGCCTGGCTGTCATGTGGCTGAGGAACAGGGAGATGGATGCCCTGCACCTGGAGGGGCTGCTCATGCAGCCGGGCATGGCCTCGGCCCCAGGGGGTATGAAGGCCCTGCTGGGAACTGGGCTTGGACTCCACTGAGTCCAAGGTCCCAGCACTTATCTTGGTGGTTCCTGATCAGAGACCTTGTGTGTCCTCCACAGATGCTCCAGGAGGGCTCTTGGTCCCTGATGACTGGTCCTTCAGTGCTGTCTCCTTCACCTGGATCCAGCCGGACCTGCGTGCACCCTGAGGTTGTTCATATCTAACATGGGCTTGTAGCTCCTTGTTCAGGGCTCAGCTCCCGAGACCCAAGGCCTGGGAGCGGGTGTCCCATTTCTACTCTTGGTGCCTGGGAGGATGTGAAGTGTGGGGGACTCGGTTCCCTTTTCTAAAGGAAAACGTCTGTCCCAGCATTTTCTCGTGGGTTTGCTGACACCAGCACACTCTCATCCAGGAGCCTGAAGAGCACTGTGTCCACCCCACAATGGCCCTTTGTGTCTCAGGATCATTTAAGAAAATTGCAGACATCGCCAGTTAGAGAAACAAGGCTACCAGTTCCTGTCCCTCACATAAAAACAGCAGTGGTAGAGTCGAGTCAGTATGCTCTTACATAAACATTATAAATATAAAATATGCAAAAATAATTACTATATAATAAATAATAATTATATATATAGGGTGGGGGGGGTCACCCTGGGGGTGACCCTGGGTTTTCATATGTTTTCAAAAAGTACTTTATTTTTGAAGATGCAGGGTTTAGAAGCATTTCTCTAAATGTGCATAGTGTTAAAAGACATTCTTTCAGGACAATCAACAGCCACCCCCGCTCCCCAGGGTGAAAAAAAAAAAAAAAGCTTTTTCTCATTCTCAAAGTTGATGGTTCAAATTTTAGCCAACATTGGAAATGGGATCCAGGTGTTGGTGATGACAAGCCTGACACTTTCTGGAACATGCTCTCTATTTATGTAATAAAAATATGTTTTGTTTGTCGAACATAATTCTGGCGTGTGAAGTCAGGCTTTGTTTAAGGTAGTTGGTAGTTGGTGGTGTGGAATAGTCTGACTTCCATGAAAAGTGCCTGGTTGTGGGCAGACAGACCAGCAGTGGGCCCAGACACAGAAGAGGAGGGTTAGCAGCCGGGGGCCGGCCCTCAGCCCCTTGGAGCTGGAGACTGTGCAGCCGGGGGGCCGGCCCTCAGCCCCTTGGAGCTGGAGTCTGTGCAGATTGGATGGAGGGAAAGCCCAGGGCCCGGCAGAGCTGATCACTCAGATAAGCGTCCAGGGCACACAGGGCCAAGAAGGGGGTCTCTCCAGAATCCCCACTGCCTGGTCGTCTTCATAATGTGACTGGTGGGTCAGAGGGACCCAGGAGGCACATTCAAGTCCTTCCCCAGGGAGGAGGGGCGATCCCATCACTGCATGAAGGGAGATGTCTGCTGCAGGGTTGTTTATAATCACAACAATTAGAAACCACACAATAACTTCCAAGAGCGGGACCATTGAGTACTTAACTAGAAACGATCGACTAAAGTAACACGCAGGAAAAATAACGGACCCCTTGAAATATTGTCACACCTGGGGAATGACTCCCAGAGGCGGTCCCGAGAGGTGGTCTTGGGAGGGGAGTCCTGGGTGCTGGTACTGGGAGGTGGTGATGGTAGTGGGGGTCCTGGGGGTGACCCTGGGCATCCTCCCTCCCAAGCCTCCAGGGGCAGAAGGAGGCTCTCAGGGGCCCGAGAGGTAGGGCCAGGTGAGCCAGGAGTGAGTTTACTGACAGGTAAGAACTTACACCGGGGCGGTTTTGCACGTATTCAGTCGAGGGACAAGGGTCTTTTTGGTGTCACATCATAATCCTTCATTTGTGCAGCACACCAGCCGACATGTGACATGGCCTCGATGTTTTTGGCCCACGGCGGTCAAAGCCGGGGCCACCTCAATCTGCTCCCGCGTGGCGGGCTCCCCGCGGGACGTGCCCCCAGGCCACAGTCCCCCAGGCCTTCGGAAGCAGGGGTCTTCCCGGGGCTTGGGCATCAGATCCAAATGCACCCACCTGAAATGTGAGGCAGGTCTCGGGGCGGACCGGAGGAGCGGACCGCTCGCGGGCTGGAACGGGGCTGGAGCGGAGCACGCAGGAGGTGCCGACACAGGACGCCTGCAGGCTGGAAGCGTCCACGGCCCGCCCCGCCGGCCCCTGCACACTGTGGGCGCGTCCTCTCTAAATCGGATGGACACTGCTGCTCTGTGCTGAGATTTCGGGGGGTGGGGTGGGTGCTGGCCCAGGCCAGGCCTGGTGGTGAGGACCACGGGGACGGTCCGGAAAGGTGCTGTCAGTCCCGGCTAAGCCCGAGCCCACCCTCCTCTTTCCCAGAGGACCTTTCTGGTGGCCTGCTTCAACCACGCGCCAGTGAGTGAGCACCCACTCCTTCCTCGGGGAGCCCGGAGCCCCTGAAATGCTCCTGAGGCTGGTACCTCAGCCTGAGATGGTGACAATGTGTCGAATAACAGCAAAGAGCAGGTTGTGTCCTGGGAGAGGTCTCGCCACGGGCTTTGGGCCAGAGACAGGGAGACAGTGTAGGCTCAGTAGACAGAATGGGGAAGAGGAAAGCTCTTTTCCAGGGGGGCCCGGGGCTCCAGGCCTGCGGTGAGATCAAGGTCAGCGGGTGGCCCCTCGAGGCCCGGAGCAGAGCCAGCTGATGGTCAGATGTCAGTTTCTTCTTGTGGATTGTGTTTCTTTTGTCCTCAAGACTAAGTGACCTTTGTTTACCCCTGTAACTGGGGTCGGCTGTGCCCTGAGGCACAAATAAAGAATCCCAGTCATGCCTTTGGCAAGGAACCGCTTGGACCCCCAATGAAGGGTGGCCCCAGGATGGAGGCATGTCCGCGAGAAGGTAGGGCAGGCGGAGAAGTCGGGATACAGTCTGGAATGGGAACTTGACGTGTCGCAGTGTCCCAGGTGTTCTCAGATGTGAGGACGCGCGGAGACAATGGGGCTGCTGGAAGAGTGTGGACTCGGGACAGGCAGCGGGCGGGTTGGGACAGAGACCCGAGGGGCCATGGCAGCTCCAAGACTCCACACACACGGACAGACTGACGCAGGAACGAGGTTTGGGTGCTCGTGAGCACCAGCTCCCCAGCGGGGGAGAGAATTCACGCCATCCCCTTCCTGCCCAGACATCTGCATGGACAGCAGGTGGCCTCCCCCTGGGGCCTCCACTGCAAATATCCAGGGAGCATCCTGGCCCCCTGTTCCAGGGCCCTGACCCGCCAGGTAAACCTTTGGCTGAAGAGTCTGGGCCAACGCACCTGTGCAAAACTCCTTTGAAGAAATGCTGGTTTGCTCTATTTCACTTTGGCTATAGGAGTCCCGCGGAAAGAAAGTATCAGACTTCTGTACTTGACAAACGTGATCATCGTCTAAAGGCCCCGAACAGAAATGGCGGTTTGGGGAAGAAATACTGTGAGGAGGATGTTACTTCGCCTCTGAGTTAGGAGTTTTGTCATCCTCGGGGCCGCTAATCTCCTCTCCTTTTACCAAAGAACATCGACCCATCACAGGCAACCGGGGGCAGAATGAGCCAGGAGCCCGGACCCCACGCCCAGACCCCACGCCCGCCCCAGTTCTGGGGAAGGTAAGACGGGTAAGGAGATGACACTGTGGGGAGGAGGCCTGGGGCGGGGACCAGGGCTTTGTATCTGACGTTTCCGCATGTCACTCGCGGCCACTGCGAACCGCTCCTGCGATAAGGTCCGTCTGCTTTGAGAACAGACCTGGCAGTTCCCAGGGGGTTCCCCGATGGGCCTGGGAGGGACTGAGGGCTGGTGGCTGGTGGCCACATCTAGGTGTCCTTTCCCCTCCTCTCTCCAGCGCTCACTCACTTACTCATAAAATACTTACTAGGACATAGGGATTGGCTCCATAATTTACCACTGTTTCCTCCAAGAGCTTACGTGTAGCCATGAAGGAGAATGATAGGTTTGCCTGCAGTCAGTAGTTTGGTGAATAAAGCTGGACACACACACGCATGCACACACACACATACATATACTATCATCTTGTTTTGGTAGAAAAATGTATGATAAAAAGTTTGGAAGCTTATCCCAGAGTGACTGTTATTGGGTGGTGGACATACTGTCCTCAAGTACTGGGATTTGGTGTCATTTTCACCTTTTTCTTTATATTTTCTGTACCGAATATATTTGTTGCAAAACACATATATGTATAGTGTATGGAGACAAAACAAGTACAGCTGTTTTAACATGTAGAATACATTGGCGCACTGCTCCCTAGACATTATTTTAAGAAAGACACATTTCTCAAGGTTCACGGAGAAGGAAAAACAGCCGCGGAGATGAGGCAGGAGCCGTCGATGCTGCATCCCCTCCCATCTGTTTCAGCAGTGGCCTCAGAGCAGCAGGTGCAGAAGCCGCCGTGAGTCCGGTGCTCTCACGCCATAGAGAAAAGCGGGTCTGAGAGGCTCTTGGACACTCTGACTGCTGGGAGAAACAGTCCCTGTGTGGTGGCCAAACTCGTCCTCAGCCCTGGCTGTGCTGGAGCCCCCTGTGAACTTCACAAATGCTTGTGCAGGGGCCCGGCCGAGGTTCTTATCTGTTTGGTCTGGAGTGTGGCTTGGTCATCAGGACCTCATGAAGTGCCCCAAATTGTTATAAATATGCCACCCAGGTTGGGACCACGGTCCTCTATGCCGTCCTCTACCCCGGCTTCTTGTGTGTAACCGGGTGGGTCAGGGGAGACCAGGATCCCGGCTCGGGCCTGCGCTGCCCCTTTCTTCCCTCACAATCCTCAGCTCGACCAGCTCTGCGATGGAACTGGACA